TTTTTACCTTTTGTTTGCTATCGTTCTGGCAGAGCACAATGGTTGAACATATAGCACCGACTCGTGTTCTAACATAGACTATTCCGATGCTACTTGATATATATTAGTGATAAGTGTACAACGAAACGTAACCAATATCATCACCGCTAATGTCCGCCTCTTACAAACCTAAAGCCTCGCAGAGGCCTTACCCCACGTCATACCCCCTTATTCCCTTACAATGCATGCTCGTATTCTGGTGGAATATCCAACACAGCACTCCCGCTACCACTATCAACCTCTGAGGAAGGCGGCCCTGGTCTCCACCCACTGTCATTGTGTCTTCGTGTTCGAGGTGGGGACCTAATTGCTCCGGTGGCAGTAACAGCGAGATTGTTATCATTCGTGTTTTCTGGAGGCTCAGTGAATTCAATTTTACGATGGGGCGTAGGAACACATTGCGCATCGAATGGACGCAAAACGGTCCGGTTCTTTGATGCACGTCGCTTTCGGAGGAAGTATACGCCCACGACGAGGACTAATGCGACGAAGCAGACGGGTCCAATAATGACGCCGATGATGAGTGAACGGTTGGGTTTGGATCTGGGTGTGCATTTAGCGGTTGTGATTCACGAAATGGGATTGACTCACGTTGATTCTTGGGAGTTAGATATTGGATTATTGGATGTGGATCTGTGTGGCTTTAGCGGTTGCAATATAAGGAATGCAATTCATTTACGTTGGTTCTGATATCTAATTGTCGGATTTGGTTCTGCGTGTAGTTTGAGCGTTTGTAATGTTGACTAAGGAAATGGGATTCATTTACGTTGGATTTGGGGAACTATTTTTCGGATCATCAGTCTTCAAGTTGGATCGGCCTTGAGCGGCTGTGATTACAGAATTGGATTAACTTACGTTGTTTCCGTCGAAGTAGGCGTCGTATTTTCGACAACATTTATTTGAAGTGGGCCATCGAGTCCATCGAGATCTACGCCATTGTTCGAGCTACCCAAGTGATATAATGACGATCTAGGAGTGATAAACTGCCCAAAGAACGCACCCATGATCATCCCACGCAACCAAAGAGTAGTTCCTAAACAAGTATTACGAGCAATGGACCGTTCCATGTAAAGGACACATACCCCGGGGATACAGACTCGAATTCGAAGTTCAACGCGTTACTTTTGGAATCAATAGGCTCCGTGAACGCGACTGGCAAATCATCAACACCAGAGTTCTTCAATACAAATAGAAAAGCCCCTTCGGCATCCGCATGCCATGTAATATGAAGCCAAATGGTCCCATTCTTCAGCTCAACCGTAGTAGGATCGACATTATCGATAGTTACGTTGATACTCCATGACGGTACCGCAGCTATACTGAAGGAATTGTTGAACGCCGACATCTCAACGCATACACGAAACACTGACACTCACCATAATACAGCCAACCATCGCATTTTTGTGGCTGACTAGGGTCGCGATATGGGGAGGGAACAAACAGTACTGAAGTAGACCCTTCGCTGGCGATTTTATTGATACCCCACCTGATCATCATCTGTCGACTGATGTGATTCGTTCTTTTAGTTACGACTCGTGATACATTCGAGATAATCAAGCTCGATGGAAGCGAGTAGTGATATCTGCTGCGACCATCAGCATAGGTTTTTATCTACGGAACCAGGATGCAGCGAGAACCAAAAAATGCCATGTAGAATTTTGACTGTCAATGCGAGTCAATGAACATGCAAACAAGATGGAACACAAGCCTGTGCTTTGGTTGCGGGGAGGAAGGCCTGAAAAGGTTGCACCTCCGCTCATTCACCAGTATACGGACGCCTGATATCGACGAGATAGTAGCCAAGGGATTCGTGATGATGGTTGCCGAGAAGAAATGCAACCGTGTGAGAATCACAATGACGTGCCATATAGAACTGCACTTCCTTGTGGCGTACAGATTCATACACGCGACTGTCATGAACATATCAAACATGGAAAGCCCGGATTCGACTCTTAGCTATAGATGGATTCCTACGGTTTGCTGCTGAAACTTTGAAACCTCAATCTAACTATACGGTGTTGACGTGTAACATTTACCGCTCAATGGATTGGTAATATGCTAGCGAGTGACACTAGTATTCGGTATCGTGTCTGCCCAATCTACCTGGCTTCCTTCGAGTCAAATCCTCTTCTGATCCCATTACAATGCATACTCGTATTCCGGTGGAAGATCCAACACATTACTCCCGCTACCGCTATCAACCTCTGAGGGAGGCCCTGGTCTCCACCCACTGTCATTGTGTCTTCGTATTCGAGGTGGAGATCTAATTGCTTCGGCGACAGTAACAGTGGGATTGTCATCGTTTGAGTTTTCTGAGGGCGATTCGATTTTACGATGGGATTTAGGAACACATGGCGCATCAAATGGACGGGAAACGGTCCGGTTCTTTGATTCTCGTCGCTTTCGAAGAAGGTATATGCCGATGACGAGGATTGATGCAGTGAAGCAGATGGGGCCAGTAGTAGCGCCGATGATGAGTGAACGTGTGGTTTTGGATCTGGGTGTGCCTTTAGCAGTTGTCATTAAAGAAATGGGATATTCACCCTGCTTCTGGGGAATTATGTGTTGTGGATCTGTGTGTGGATTAAGTAATTGCAATTCAAGGAAGGTGATTCATTTACGTTGGCGCTGCTGCCGATCCTAAAGTATTTGGCCTGACATTGGACATTGGGTTGTCGGATACGGATCTGTGTGTCTTTAGCGGTTGCAATTTAAGGAATGTGATTCATTTACGTTGGTTGTGGTATCGGAATATTGGAGTTGGATCTGTGTGTGCCTTCAGCGCTTGTAATCTTAACTAAGTGAATGGGATTCATTTACGTTTGGTTTGAGGAACTAGTTATTGGGCCATTGGAACTGGATCTGCGTGTGCCCTTAGCGGCTGTGATTACGGAAATGGGATTGACTTACCTTATGGGAAGCGTAAACTGGGAACCCTTCCTATCCGTGGCCTGAATCGGAGCAGAGAATTCATCGAGATATACACCGGTGGCCGAGCTACCCAAGTGATATAATGACGATCTAGTAGTGATAAACTGCCCAAAGAACGCACACATCATCATTCGACGCAACCAAAGAGTATTTCCTACAAAGGTATCATGAGCAATGAACCGTTCCATGTAAAGGACACATACCCCGGGGATATAGACTCGAATATGAAACCCGACGCGGAACTTTTGGAATCAATAGACTGCGTGGACGCGATTGGGTAATCATCAACACCAAACTTCTTCAATGCAAATTTAAAAGAGCCATCTTCGTCTGCATGCCATGTAATATGGAGCAAGATGCTTCCACCCCTCAGCACAGCCGAAGTAGGCTCAACATTATCGATAGTTACGTTGAGACCCCATGACGGTACCACAGCTATACTGAAGGAACCGTTGAACGCCGACGGCTCAGCGCATACGCGAAACACGGAAACGCACCATAATACAGGCAACCATCGCATTTTGTAGCTGACAAGGATTGTGATATGGGGAGGGACCAAACTGTACTGAAGTAGGCCCCGCTGGCGATTTTATTCAGATACCCCATCTAATCATCACCTGTCGACTGAGGTGATTCATTCTTCGGGTCACGGATCGTGACATATCAGAAGATGATCACCAAGTTGGATGGAGTCGAATAGTGATATGTGCTGTGACCGTCAGCATAGGTCTTGATCCACGGAACCAGGATGCAGCGAGAAGAAAATTTACATGTAGAATTTTTACTGTCAATGCGAGTCAATGAACATGTAAAAAAGATAGGACACAATTCTGTGCTTTAATTGCGGGGAGAAAGGCCTGAAAGGGTTGCACCAGTATACGGTTGCCTGATATAGCCAAGGGACTCGTGATGATGGTTGCCGAAAGAAATGCGACCGTGTCGCTATCACGGTGATAAGCCATATAGAGCTTATGGGTCGGAGTTGTCCACAGCTATTAACGAATCCCTAGAAACATTTTTTTCTTAAAAAATCGAGGCTTTTGATGGTATTTACATCGAAACAAAGGGCTCCACTCAGCCAGACGCGACCCAGCGTTTGTCCGGCGCTCGCATCACTCACATTCCCAGTAGCCACCGTACATTGACTACCACCACCACCACATTGAGAAGACATGATATCTGATGAAACTGCCACGCTATATAGAATATCATTCACACTGCTTCTGTCAGTGAAACCAAGAAAAACAGGCAGAATTTCAATGACTGCGGTCAGTCAATGAGATCGGGATTTCAATTTGTGTGTCAAGGACGAAAACTCGAGTGAGATATAGTATCTCTTCAGTATCTCTACACATGAAGTCGGCGGTGAGGAAATTAACACGACTGCTGAAGCGCTGGGTTGGCGCGTCTGGCCAAGTGGAGCCCTTTGTTGGGGTGTAAATACCATCCAAAGCCTCAATTTACGGAAAAATGTTTCTAGGGATTCGTAAATAGTTGCAAAATGCTCAAGAAACAACAGTCGTCCAAGAATGTGGTAGCGTAAACGGTCAATTACGATCCGAATACCGTATCCTCATCCTTGGGCACGCCACCCTGACTGCCCAAAGCTGCCGGTCAGCACATGCTATCTCACGGGCTCAAGATCAACCAAGTTGAATTGTTGTGTTTTCGAAGGTCGTGCAAAAAATTACATTTCCCTTTTTCATCTCCCTAGCTGGTAGTCAAACCCAACTTCCGCGAACACCGCAGCGTATCTTGCATATGATGAACACATGCACTAACCAATATGCTACAAGGGAAGCATGAAAACTACTGAGTCTGTTGTATCTACCCAATACTTCAATTCCATGAGGTGCGTGTACTAATACTGCCAGAGATCGCATTCTTCTTTTGTTTTGTATCACCCGCCCCAAGAACCAGTTCTCAGTGTCACAGTAAATGTCGAAATTCCTCATACGTGAATATCCCTGTTTCCAGAATCCATACTTAGAGAAACGACCACCAAAAAAAAGCCTGCAACCATCTGCAATCTCCTTGGCTGGGAGTTGAACCCAGCTTTCGCGCGCAATTATTACTTCAAAACCTAGTATGACAGGCACGCGTACTAACCGATATACTACCAGGGATGCTGTCTCATTTTTCACGCAGCGGATTGATCAATCAGTGTATTAAGATTAGGATTAGAATACGACATGAACAGTGTTGAGAAGCCCATTGAACACGGAACCATGAAACCCCGAGAAGGAGACTAATAATTCTCTTCACAACCGCCGTATTGGTCGCACTCGGAAGGAGATGGGGTGTCGGTGTCGCAGCCTCCATACTGGTCGCAACTACCGATAGGGAGAGATGTGCCGCAGCCGCCATATTCTTCACAAGTAGGGGTAGGTGTGTCGCATCCACCGTATTGATCGCATGTGGGAGGAGGTAGTGATGGGGTGCCGTCATCGCAGCCACCGTACTCTTCACAACGTTTCTCCGGAGGCTGGCAAGAACCGTATTCGTCGCAGTTTTCTGTGGGAGGTGGAGTGTAGGTATCGCACCCGCCGTATTGGTCACAGTCGTTGGTAGGAGTGTAGTTGTCCGATCCACAGCTGCCGTATTGGTCACAGTCATCGCCAGGAGAAGGAGGTGGGGGAGTGTAGGTTTCGCAACCGCCATATTGGTTACACTGCCAATAACAAACGCATCGATAAGCCGCTGATCTGAAGAGATATGGATAATTACGCACCGAGGTAGAATCTTCTCCACCATACACGTCCGAATCAGATCTCTTCATCTTGAGAGCAGCACCCGATACGGAGAGAGCGTAAGCGGTCAGAGTGATGAGGGTGATGAGCTATGTGGGGCGTTGTTAGCGTTTGTGAGGAAGGGAGGAGTGGGGGCGTACCTTCATGTTGGCAGGTGGACAAAACTTGAGATAGTGAGACAAACGAGGGACGGAGGGAGGCTTATGTACCCTACAGTCGAGAGGATGGCACTGAGAGCATGTATGGTTGGAGTTTCGAGTGGTGTTTCGTTTGGGGTATCGACGGTTTCATCGTTTTGTCGGGCATGTTCAATCCTTCCCCAACGTACGACTAGGCCTGCTGTATCGATCTTATCGCCGTCGTTTCATGTGAAGTTCTCCACGTCTTCACAGTTTCATGTCCAACCTCCAACGACCTAGGCCATCGCGTGGTTGCGTTTCATGAACGGGTTTCGTTACAGTTGGTGGTTGTTCTCTTCCGAGTTTCGTCTCATGAAAGCGTCGTTTGGGTTTCGATTCGAGGCATCTTGGGCGAGAGTTGTCGTATTTGGCGTTGAAAGAGTGGAACGATAGTTGTGGGGAACGGCAAAGCGCAGTTGTCATCGTAACCCGCCTCCGAAACCCAAACCCTAATGAAATCATTTCTCCCACGCCCCAAAACACATGTCACATTGCTGATCCTCGACCATGAGTCGACTCCCTGGTAGTATATCGGTTAGTACACGCGCCTGTCATTAACCTCTGGACTGTAGCTACGCGCGAAAGCTGGGTTCGACTCCCAGCCAGGGAGATACTTTGCTGCTCATTACCCTTTTTCTTTCCTCTCACTGGAGCTCTCGCGTGGCTTACGTCGATCACGATGTTTATTCTACCAAGCTCACCGACTCGAACTGACACGCGTATAGCTCCTTTGGCGGAATCGTGAATCGCATATTGTGCCCTGTAACCGGAGCGATAAGAAAACGGTCTACTCAAACAGTTACTATGCACTCTCTTTAGGCTTGTGCTTTTAAATTACTCGGTAGTTTTTCGAGCTGGATATGCTTTTCCATCTATCGCTGTAGCTTGTCGAATGGGATGGATAGGACAAATTGAATGTTAGAATGGGAGAGCCACGATGTTACTATAGTAGCACAAGGCCTAATATCGATCCCTGGTAGTTCACTGGTCAGTACACGCGCCCAAAATACACAAAGTCGCAGGCACGAGAGCTGGGTTCGATTCCCAGCTAGGGATATCAGAGTGGAAGAATGTTTTTCTCCAACTGCGCAGGGAATCTAGCGTACGTTGATATGTACAGAATACCTGACTGTCCATTTTCTGTCATCCATCGGGAGTGTGGGACGATCTGAGGGACAAGGAAGGGTTCTACTACGCGTCACCCGGCCTGTGACTCTTTCAAAGTGTTCCTTAATATCCGGGGTTCTTTGATTGACATCGCCTTCTATCGCCGCAGATTATCAGATGGGCTTTGAGAGGACGAAGTAGTCTACAATAACAGCTTCACAAGTTGAGAAACAGTCCCCGGTAGTATACTGGTCAGTACACGCGCCTATTGTGAGGAGGGAAAACGACAAGCTTGCACGCGCGAAATCTGGGCTCAATTCCCAGCCAGGGATCTAGGAGAGAATGGAACGGTTTTTTTCCAAGTCCTCAGTATACTCTCCCTGAAACACGGAGCTTCACCATGTTGAACTTGGTCCTTTAACGAGCTAGTTATTTGGTCAGTACGAATTGGAGTTTTATTCCTGCTGTGTAACGCGTCTGCGTCAACTTCACCACACACGGCTGCGTATGACCCGTCAACTTCACCACACACGGCTGCGTATGACCTGTGTATATTCGAGTAAACGAAGAGAGAGCTACAACGAGCTAAGCCGACGCGGGCGACATGGTGGTAAAGAAGTAACAAACGAGTCAGGTACGTAATGTATGTAATGAAAAAGATATCCCTGATATGAGCGCTAGTACGGGCGCCTTACATGCTGTTTTCCCTCTCGCATAACTCTACTCCCAATGCAGTCGGCCTATAACATTCTCCATTTCAAGTGCACATGCTATTCCGTCGCCACAGAATATCGGGTATGACGGAAGAGAAAAATTCAAGGTTGAAATAAAAGAGCCAGGTCCTCCAACAGCCAGTCCCTGGTAGTATATGGGTTAATACACGCGCCATGTTGGTAGAGTCATAGGCGCGACAACTGGGTTCGATTCCCAGCCGGGAAGATTGAGGATAACGGAACAGTTTGTTTTCTGTCCCATCAGGAGTGTGTATAAATAGGGTATCCAAATGACGAAGAATAGGTTGAATATAAACACCGCTACTCCCTTTTTCGGGGTGTTCCTTAATATCCCAGGTTCTCTGATGCACATGGCCTTCTATCGCCACAGGTTATCGGATACGACAGATATCGATTGAGATAACAGCTTCACTAGTCGGAAAACCATGAATCCCTGGTAGTATACTGGTTATTACACGCATACAAGGTCGCAGACGCGAAGTCTGGGTTCGACTCCCAGCCAGGGATATACTGTATACTTGTTGGATACCATAGTTTTTATACTACCGGCAGTCTTTTTCTTCAACAAAACTCCTCGCACCCCGGAATCAATCTCCGACCTGAGCCCAACAACTATAAGGTGGCCCGAGCGTTGATGAGGTTTGGGGGCAGTACTCTAACAGTCGGGTTCTTTGGTTTTTTGATCGACATGCCCTTCTATCGCCGCAGGTTATCAGGTACCTACGACGAACACTGAGAACTCGAATTAGTTGAGATCAAGTCCAAGAGACATGTATCCCTCGTAGTATATAGGTCAGTACATGCGTCTATCATGATTGGGCATCCTCGTCATGTGCGCGGAAGCTGGGTTCGACTCCCAGCCGGGGAGATTTTCACGATTCCTTGAGCTTTTATTCCATTTTTCGTTCCTATTATTACAACTGAAACTCTGGAATTTTACAGTAACCTCACATATACTAGACTTGTTGAAATTGAAAGAGCTCGGACAACCGAACCGGTTGTTTTTCAAGTCACGATCCGGCTATCGCAGTTTGAGTTGGTACAAGCGTATTTCGTACGGCAACCCAAGGACACACAGTGAATATCTTGATCGATTCTAGGTGTACGCTCTGTTCCAGACTTGTCCGAATCATAGGGTATATTCAAGTCACAAGTGTACACACGCTTTCCTATCTCCCGAGTCTAACCTGTCATATTGGAGGATTCTTCATTCTGGTGAGTTAAAATCGAGAAAACTCGAGTATCAGAACACGGTCTGGATCCTCCGACTTCTAGTTCATCGTCCCCATCTCGTGCCTCCGAAATACACATAGGTTCATCGTATGATCGAGATGTCGGGTTAGTTGTGGTTCCTGTATCCGCCTGGATGTCAATATCAATACCTTGATCAACATAGAAGTTCCCTGGTAGTCACGTAAACCGGTTACTACACGCGCCTGTCATGAATATTGACGTGAAATCTGGATTCAATTCCCATCAGAGTGATGGAATAGCTGGATAGTTGTTTTTTTCTCTCCTAGGTCTCGTGTTGTATATAACGCTGCGGAACTAAACATTGGACTCTCATCCAGACTTCGTGCGTGCAATGCTTACCGAGTTTGGAAGAATCCGAAGAGACAACCGAGGCATAATGCATAAGAAGCCGATTAGAGATATCATTCGCTACAATCGATCACTCCCTAGTAGCGTACGGGTTAATACACGCGCCTATCCAACGTGTCACGGTAAAGTCTGGGTTCAACTCCCAGCAGGGAGATGAGTCCGCTCCCGCTAACGTTTCGTTTTTTTTTTTTACTACTAACTACCTGGCTATGGATATTATGGAATCAGAAATAGATCATACTTCAAAGCCTCGTATCGGTTGAGGTATGGTGTCGGTGATGAAAAATAGCAACCACTACTATGAACCTCTCATCAAACAATGATTGATGGGATACGGGACGGATGATGTCCCTGTAGTATACCCGCTCGTTAAGCAGTGCGCCGGAAGCTGGGTTCGACTCCCAGTCAGGGAAAATAACCTGTTTAGAACGGTTCCTTTTTCCCGGAGTCGCTTCCATTAACGTAACTTTACACCTCTTCTCATGACCACCACTACGGTTGAACACCTTTTTCCTTTTACTTCTTGTGTGACATCCTCACATGCGAGGCAATATAGTGCACCGTAATGGCCCGATATAACTCTATATTCGAAGGTACGTGGAACCCCCGGGCCCCACCTCAAGCTAACCATGCTCAGAAACACTTACACACTCTCCAACATCAACATTATCTTCATCACCAGCGGCGCGCCAGGCTATGCATACCACACTTTTCAATTTGCACGGAGGTGGATTAGGCCGCAGGTGAGATGTGCTACTTGGTGCCTTTTAAGCCATTTCATCAGCCAGTTTCAAGTCCATCACTTGCTCTACAAGACAACCTTCGAGTTATAGTCCTCACCCCGTACACCGACTCTGAGGTAACAGCCTTGATGGAAAGTGTTGGAGAAATTGATGATGGTCTCTGTTGAGTTAGTCGACATATAAGTGGGAGTATAGCAGTCACGGGAAGGTCTATTGGGAAGCTCGACAATGTCGATGTTCTCGCATACAGACAGTTTGGCTTCAACTGCGTCTTTTTGAGACAGTGACATGTCTTCCACTTGAATGATGTCCGAGTCATTCTCTACGGTGCGCCCATACACGCTTTACGGACCTTCTCCTATCAACTGAACGGTTATTAGGTTTAATGCTATAATATCTATCCAGCTCGAATGTTGAACGGCTAAGAACGTATTGCTCGCCTCAGAGAGACTGCGTTTATTCACATAAGGCTGCTGTAACGATAATGCGGCCTGTCAATTTGCTTGCGAGAGACCATCAGAGGATGAGATGACGCGGGAGCAGCCACCTCACTTTGTCTCCCGTGCCCATCTCGCCACTCATCTCATCTCGTTCTTTCATCACTTATGTGCTTGTCCAAGTTGTTGACTTATAGCCTCGTACCTGAAAGTCTAGCTCCTCGGCTGTACGTACATCATTCGTTGTCTTTTGTTTACTCCCATCATAATCGCGTGCATCTCGCCACACATCCCATCTCGTTCTTTTGTTACTCATCTGCTTGTCCAAGTTGTATGCTTACAGCCTATCACGTTGGAACCAGCGATATATTTTGCTTCAAGCCCAGGCAATACTCATTCGTGTGTGAGGTATGGCGTTGATGCACCGTGACGATGCACGCCGAAGAAGACAATCTCTTTAATGAAGAAGGCACTCTTGCTATCGTTCCGTGATCATCGATCATCATTCAATCATACATGTGATCTCTTTCGTCATGTTGCTAGACCTGATAATTCCCCTTGTGCACATTGAGACTCACCATGCCGCTGGACTTGACAAATCCCTTGAAGATAACTCTACCCTTGAATTCAAGTTCCTTTTGTAGAACGACTAGTAGTCACCATTACCGTGTAGAAACATCTGTCGTATGCACCATTCTAACAATAGCATTGATGATTTTTCACTTGTACATCTATTGAAGAAATCATTGAGCAGAAGCTTGTTTTCCAACCAATGACTGACTTAGTTGAACGACACGTTCATGTGCTCATATGCGCTCATATCTGCCCTCGCATGAGTGGTCCTTTCTATGTCCAGTATCTATATCATACAATCTAGGCGATGATCATGATCGCAGTATCCTGTATGATGGCATCGGCGCTTGATGGTGTAGTTTGTTAAGTAAACCGAATAAAATGCGCTGTGCTCGTCCGGGTTGCCATCAAGCAATCGTTGTAGACAAGCGTGTGTCTCTGTATTGAAAACCCTACAATAAAACGAGGATCTATTCTTTCTGTTTCTGTCAAGTATGTCTTCATCCCTGGCTCCCCAGCTACGGGGTAACATCATGTCCATGGTGAGACTTCAAAGGACCCCATAACCGTTGTTTGGCTGATTCTACCCTTATATTCAACAGATGATCTGTCTGGCAGTTCTGTGGCACGTTGTCAACAGCGCTGATGCTCCGATAGCCATACCGTCCTCGTGGAGAGTGCGTTATTTAGACGACCTCATAGAAGTTTAACGGTGCTTAATCATGCATCAGAAACCAACAATCAATCTTACAATGGAAGACCGCATTGACTTTGCAATTGAGGCTTTGGACAAAGCATATATTGAACCCATTCCAGGTAAGTATTCTGACCCAATGGCGTTGAACAAGCATTCATTTGGCATTCTAGAGGGTTGCGAGGTTGATTTACACACTCTTCTGATCGAGTTTGACATAGCCGTTAACCAAACAAGATACAAAGACAAGGTGTTTCATTACTTCGCAAATGTGCCCTCTTCCAAGTACGTACCTATCTTGTTACTGTTTCATGTGGCCGACATATTGCCTGATATGCAGGGTCAGTCACAACGCTCTCCCGAATATGTCTATTAAAGATCCACATATGTTTGCTAGACATCCTATGGAACGTATGTTAATTCCACAGCTTGACCTCTAAGGTGCTTTTCTGACCTTCGAAGGCTGGATCCTTTGTATGGCTATGCCGCTGCTCTAGCACACGTCGCTTACAAGCCTGAGAGTCAAATATTTCTCAACATTGCCATGGAAATTTGGAAGTCCAACAATAACCGTGTCTTATCGAGTTCAGGTTTCCCTCGTGCGGTATTCCAGAACACGAGCAACGCAAAAATTAAACTTATCATCGATACATTGGATGAGCATAGGAACTGCACAAACGGTGAGGACAGGCCGTCCTAGTCTGAAGGTTATCAATCTCAGCTCACGAATTTGGGAATGCCTTAGTCGTGGATGTAAGCGGTGGTCTAATCGTGAGTGACTACGTCTATTTTTGGATTTTATGCATATAAATTCCATTTGTCTAGCATAATCCCACCCTCGGAGACATGGTGACATCTGAAAACGCGTAAGGATCCCCCTGTAGAAGACCGAATGGATAAGCTCATCTCAAATTTGCATGCTGTGTTTTCAATAGCCGCTTTTTCAGGTGCTTTTGCATGCAAGTCAATATCGTTAGCACTAACTCATATTACTTACAGGCTTTCCGGGGTCCTCGCCGAGATAACTGGAGATAACCAGTACCTGAACGCTGCTCAGCAATCTGCCAAACTTTTCCTTTCGCGATTGTATACAAATGACTCGCTTTTTTGGTGGGCAGTTTGGGTGGACACGCAGAATCCATGCAAAACACTAATCGACGAGAGAAAGGAACCTTGGAATATGGGGTATGCGATTGAGAGTCTTGCCATTCTAACATCAATCAGTTTGGACGAGACGACCGTTGAGAGGCAAGTTTTATAAAGTAGTTATGATTGTTGCTTAGGTGTTATCCAATAGGTTGACGAGCAGCATTGTCGCCTCTTCAGATTACCCAGAGTGGCATGAACCTTCTGGACAAGGGGTTCTGATGTTGAAAGATAGTGCGACCCTTTCACTCTTTTTTCACAATGGTGTTTAATGATATTGCAGAACAATGGTCCGGAGCTGATTTTGCTAGAGGCCTCGCGACAATTCTGGCACGGAAAAAGCTCTTCAATCCTGCTTTATCGACCTACGTGGAGGCTTATCTGGCAGTTCAGGTAGTGCCCTATCATTGTCATTTTCCGTCATTCTCTCAGTCAGTCATATGCTTGCTAGTACAATGCACTACTCGATCTAGCCACTTTCACCGGAACTAATATTTATGGGAACTCGTGGATCGGCCCGCCAAATATGACCTACTCTGCTGTCGATCAACTTGCAGCAGCTAGAGTTCTCATTGCTGGCATCAACATCAACTCTCAGCTAGATACCCAAAGACCTCCGGAAGCGGAAGTTCCTCCAAAAATTCCTCCAAAAATTCCTCCAAAAAGTCGTCCA